ATATATATATATATATATATATATATATATATATATATACGAACTAGTTGTATGTCTCTGCGTTTAAACGAGCTTTTTCCGTACAGAATATATTTTATCGGCTCCAAAAATGCACACACCAAGAAAGGACTAACTTCGTTTCGCTCATGTCCCACTTGTCGGTGTGTAACAACAGTGGTCGGTCAAGCGTGTTTCGAGATCCATGTGTTCTCCGTTTAACAATCAAGTGAGAGTAAACTGTGAACGCCGCTGACCATAACAAGTGATTCAAAAATGAATAATAATGCCGTGTTCGCTAGCGACAGCTCAGGATGTGAAGAATAGATATTAACCTACCAAACACGGGTTTGTTTATTAAGAATTTGATTGTTTGAAAAAGGCGAATGTTACACCTTACTAATAAAGCTTTTTTACCAGAGAGCATGAGCAACGCTGCGATGCTGTTACTGGATTTTGGACGACTCTTAAGATCAACAATTGTTTAATGTGCTTTCCGGACAGATGTAGAATTGATGAAGTTTGTTGCATCGTGTTTGTCCTCGATCAATTGTAAATACTGATATAACTCGCATAATTACTCCTCTACGAAAACCGGCGAAGTGGAACACAGCAACGTTAGTACCGCTGGCGCCGAGTGAGTCCGACGGCGCAATTGGATTCCAGGCACACTCGCTGAATTGACTCCAGTTCATGAGCCAGGAAGTAATATCTTGCGCTTGTTCTTCTACCTCGTACCAATGGTTCCAGGATGCTGTTGGTTGGACGTCGATTTCTTCGGTTAATCTGCCTCACAATTGTGCGATTTTGAAAGGCATTACTGAAGATTTCATCCAGAAACGTTGACCAAATCATGCTTCGCCATATTCCTTAGAAGAGTGTAACATTTCTTGGTAAAAGGACAAGCATTCGTCAAAAGTGTATTTGTCAGGCTGTTTTTACTCTTGATATGTTCGCATGTTCAACACAAGAAGTAGAGGACCCCATTCCATTACACTTCGGATTATTTTTAATTCTGGTCAATCTATATCACTTTCCACCTTCTATGATTTGCACTGGAACCACGCGATTAGACAATAACTTATTTCAAAATAATGAACACCATGTTTTGTGGTGGACGTCCGCTTTCAAGAAAAGAACGAGGGTGTAGGTGGTGTGAGTACCAGGTTTGCGGCGAATTTACCCACCGTAAAGGTTGTTTTCTGAACGTTTAAATGCGAGTAATTTCGGGACAGGGCTAACCGTACGCAACGCAGAGTGTGAATTTATTGGCTAGCAATATGTGCACATTTCTGCGCGCATGTTTCCGTGCATCACATGGTCAATTGCTGTCTGTGTGAATGTCTGACTCTCAGTCAGTCTGTCTTTCTATCTTTCTGTCTTTATGTCTGTTTGTCTTCCTGTCTGTCTGTCTTCATGTCTGTCTGTTTTTCCTGCCCCTTTTTCGCCTTTCCATCTGTTTGTACGTATGCATATATAAATATATATATATATATGCATATATGTATGTATTTATATAAATGAAGTACGTGTACATATTAACATACATAAACCACCAATGAGATTCCATAAATTTCACCACGTGATTGTCCCCCATGTGAGTTGCAGTTCGAATAAAGTGCCCACCGACTCTGTAGGTTTTCAGTAAACAGTTGCTAACACCCAAAGCTGCCTGGACGTCTCTCCATTGTCCTTACAGATGAGAATGGCTCAAAGCATTGTGGTTCTTCTTCGTGAACAAGATCCTGAAACATTGTGAAACAATGAATGGCAAGTCTTTGACCACCTGGAGGATGTCAACATCTTCGTGCTAATATAGGGACTAATTCTGGGCATATCATCCCCGGTATGATATATTACCAACTAAGATAGTGTCCTACGTTATTCAATGAACAACTGGCTTGCCAGAAACCGTAGTTCTACAAAGTACCCAACGGCATTGTTTGGTTATCAGAAAGATGACAAAAGCTAGGCTTGGATATCTGAATAACTGGACTAGCTGCATTGTTGAAATTCGTCTATGGACTCCGAATTCCTTCATCAGCTTTTTCCAACCTCAACCATCGCCATTCAAACGTAACGAAATACATATATCATCTAGAAAAATGCACCCATTTTCATAAGGATCTATTTTTTCACATGTGGCCCAATTGAATCTCTCCGTGACAGTTTGCGACACACCATTTCAACGTTTACAAAACGTTAAAGAACCCATAGCACTATTATGTTTGCTCCGAGCAATTCCTATAACAACAAACGTTACGAAATACAAATAAGACCTGCACCACGCATGTGTACATAAAAAGCGGTCCTTGGTTGCCATGGAGTCCGACTATAGGTAAGAATCTTCCAAATCTGCTACCCATTTAACTGAAGACGTCGTCAAATTGTTTAAACTTCAGTTGTACCAAAATAAATGGTAAGATAATCGAAGTATGAAGCGACACATACTACTGGTGAATCAGTGCGTAATCTTCTGTTCCCGGACACCATACACAGAAATCAAGTTAAGGATTTGAAGCTCTAGTTTAATCATAATCAACAACATCATCATCGACAGCAACAACAAGACCGATGCTCCACTGGCGTACTCGTATGTCATACTCTTTGTAATGGAAAAAGGAAGATTAGTGGGACAGGACAAAAAAACTATGGCTAGCCTACCGCGACCACATGAGATGTCTACGAATGCGACACTCAGTAGGACAATCTGGATGGGGCACGACAGCATGATTGCCACTGACATTCCTGGGCCTACCATTATCATTTACTTTTGAAGGGCATTGTCACAAACATAAAAAGTGAATAGAAACGGGCAACAGGAAAATGAGAGAAAATAGAGAAACGTCTCAGTTAACTTCATGCAACCAACAGATCGTTGCAGATGGGATGAGTCCCAAAGTATGTAAACACTGTGACGGAAACACGCGTCTGAAGACCAGCAACCGAAGAAAAGACAAACCATGTCGGATGCTCTTCAAGGCGCGGGAGACGCTAGCACAGTGAAGACTCGCGCATCCGGCACAAGTTGCCCGTCATGCTGAGTCTGGTGTGAGATTAAAGGGCAAAAATATACGTTCAACGCCATGCCACACGCATAAAAGTGTCATAAGTACGCAAAGAGCCCACAATGGCAAGCAAACTTTGGATACAATGTCCCCCATGTTGTTTACCGGTGTGGATGTAGCTGATCGGGGTGTCTTTCGATAGGGGTAGTCAGTCAGTAATAGATTGCCCGATGTAGTTGTCCACTCTTTTGAGCGTGTTTCGGTGAACGTGGCCGAGCACCAGTGAACAAGACAGCCTCGGTATCAGGTAGTTCTTCGTGATCTCCATTATCTGATGGGGCTTCATAGGGGCACGCGGCACTTCTTCGAGCAGTTTGAGCAGGTGCTGTCGGTGGTTGAAGGCACATTTCCACATGGAAGTAAAGGAAATGCCCAAGTAGGTTGTGGTGTCTGTCGGACCCAGAGGATTAATGAGTTACACCGCGAAACTAATTGGCTCGACTGCTGTTGCCCGATGTTTCTTGTCCCCACAAATATCCATCACTTTCGTCTTTCGGGCGACCATTTCCATGCCAGCTCTCCCCGACTCGACCGGTGCAGCTTCAGGCTTCTGTTTAAGGCGTGCCTGACTTTCTGCACACACGACCCAGTCGTCGGCAAAGGCGAAACTATCTACCAAGGTATCATGGAACTGGTATCCCAGTTGTGGCACCGACAATCCAAGCAACTCATCCATAGCCATAAGAAATAATGACGGGGAGAGTGGATCCCCTTGCCTCACAGTTATGTGGCAGTGAACCACGGGAAATAGGGAAAACTGCTACAGCATTCTCATCGGACTGTGCGATGTATCAAACTAAACGTGATGGTGCTCCAAACGTCTAGGCAGATCTGACGACTTTGTCACGCGAAACCGAATCAAATAATTTCGAGATATCAACAAACGCCAAGCTGAGGTTAGAAGCAGTCACCGAAAAGCGACGAGGCAGGGCATGCAACAGGGATGTCGCTTCCAAACAGGCTTCTCGGTGCAGAAGTGCAAACGGAAGTGAGGGCCGTTGCACTCTATGACTCCAGCGATCAGCAAGCACCTTATGGGACCAACGTACACGAATGGATCACACAGAAATCGGTTTCTGTTGGTCCAGGGAAGTCGGTTTTGGGACCTTCGGAACTAGGGTGATACGGGCACGACACAAATGTTTGGGACAACCCCGACATAGTAACAGTAGGTTAAAATACCCTGCCGGCACGTTAGCATTGAACCGGCGAAAAATCATGGGCGTAAGCTTGTCCAGGCGCGGTGACGAATTGCCCATTAAACGGATCGTACGGCCGACTTCCTCAACTGTAATTAACTCGATCAAGCTCCAGTCGGATGGTAGTACTATGCACCTTGGCGGACTATCCACGTGTTTTTAAGCTGAGAGCACCTATTTCCAATAGCGCTCGGCGTCCATAGGTGGGCCGTGTTTACCTTTGCATAGATCCTCCCATGACCCGTCGAGCACAACAGGCGCTGCATCTTTTCGTCTTTGCGGTATAGGGTCTGGACGGCGGCGTATTTCGCTAGGCGCATCGGTTTTCGGTTAATCAATCCGATGAGCCAAACGACGGCGGGGTCAGGACACAGTTTTGCAGGTGTGTGGAACCGCCCTGGAGGCGTGGATATCCAGAAGTGACAGGACTTGCTCCGGTGTCATGGTGCCAGACAGTAAACCTCGGGAAAATGCCAGAAGGTCAACACTAGCGAGCGAACTGTCAGCATGAGATTCCAAGAGTGACACGGCATAATCCATGGTTCGTTTAAACTGGACGCTGTAGTCATTGGCTTCTGACGAGTAGGCCGTCATTTCGCCGATAGTTTGATCAGGTCCACGAGATGATGATTCGTCCTGTTGAGTTTGCCATTTAAGCATAAGTTCATGTTGTCGAAACCTCAAAATACACTGCTGTCCAATAAAACACACGCTGCGAAGTATTCAAAACGGGAATTATTGCTGGATAGGTGCAAGCGTCGAATGAAAGAACGGGGAAGTACGGTGAACAGGGAACTTCTCCATGGCGCGTGAACAAGGAGTTCCACAAGCTAAAACAAAACTGGCCGAGTGCTCACTAATGTAAATAATATTTCTGACACAAGAAAACAGCTGACGACAATGGCAACGAAACTTTTACACTTACTAATATAGTATGGCTTACTAATCCAAACAAAAATAATAGGTGGATTAGAGAATGAAATGGACAATCAATGGCAGCTGACTATCACCGGAATGCACATCAATAACTGACTGGCTTATCTGCATCGGTTTTGATGAGGATCCCTCATCGGGAATCTGTAATCCAGGCATACGAGTATTCGTTCGCCAGACAGACCTTGATTCGCTTGTCATTACAAAAAAGCAGACCAGATTCTTTCACTTTCGTCGGCTGACTTGTCACAAAACTGCCGTTTGGGAGGGTTCAGACAAAAGAACAAATGGATCGATATCGATAGAGTGTGAAATGGTGAGATTACTTATCGAAGAACGGGTACTGTGCCTCACAGAGTTTGTGAAGCTGGAAGAAGTTTAGAATTAACGCACTATCCAGAAGATCGCCAAAACTATTTGACAGATCATTATGGTTTTCAATCATCCTGAGGCTAAACAGGCAGTCGCAGTCCTCCAGTTTCCTCAATCTCAATTAATTCTTGAGGCCAGACTGAACGGAAATTGCCAAAGACTCCTATAAAAGAGACATATAGCCGAATTTGGTTGGGTCAGTTCGCCAAAATCTAATCAGTATGTAAATCTGTGTTCTGGTGTTGAAGGCAAACTCCCCTCAGAGGGCACCACTGACAAAAACGGTCGAAGTAAGTCACGGTATAAGAATTATACATTTTGTCTGATGGGTTGAAGTGCGCTCTTATTAGAATACCCACGATCCATTTAAAGTTAACAAGGACCATATCCACCTAGCAATGGTGGTTGGTGCACAGAGATACACTTGTTTCATCGGTTATAAAATAAACTCCTCCTGATGTATGAGATTGGTACAGTAGCCGCACTGGAACCAAGCTATAAATACTTGATATTATGCTATCTCCGGGCTACACGCTGCTTGCATATAGCCAGGAAATACCTCCATATAAGATCATGAACGGGACAAGCATGCGTAAGGCTTGCAACTTCATTCTGCATCACTGGCCGCCGTGATTTTTCAACCAATTGTGAAGGACATTCTGGGTGGTATTTCACAGGACCTCCATGAGAGCCAGGCAAAAATATAACGCTACTAACTTCCCACATTTGAATATCCCGAAACCTGGAGCCAGAATAGCAAGCCTCAATGTACAGAACCAAGTTGTTTAAAATTCTTTTTCGAATTCATGTAGGCCAATCTTCTTTAAACTGCGCGGCATAGAGCTGTCGGAAGACAAGAAGGAATGTAATCTTGAGGGGGGTATAGCCGACCGAATGAAGCATGACCAGACTGGACCGGAGGGTCCGTGTTGAAAACGCAACATCGACATGTTCACTGAATCTATCTAGGCATTGGCAACTTAGCTGTGTCTCAGCCGTCGTGCATCCTTCGGGTGGAATAGCATCTATGCACTAAGTGGGTGTCTCAGCTGAATGATTATTGATTTGTCTGATTTGATCAGTGGGAGGACAAAGTGTGACTGCGTTTTATTTAGTCCTCCCGGAGTTATGGCTGAGGACTTGTTTCCCTCGGATA